AAAAAAAAAACATCCATATTATCCACTTTTCCTAATGTATACAGCACCTATTTTTCCTAGAAAGTTATCGAAAATCATAAACATGCTGCTAACTGTTTTACACTTCGTAATCGATGTGTACAATGAAATGAGCAACAGTGCTATCAAACTTTCATTTTTTTCTGGAAAACTGCAGATGGTAGTGCACCGATAACTTGAAGCGTTTGAAGTATCGATAGAGAAAAATTTGATATGCTCACTGAACACTCATTTACACTTGTTTTCGCTGTGTGCAACACCAGTACGTAGAGAATTCTCACCTTTACGAGCAAACTGAAAAGAACACCGTGTCAAGATGCATGAGACTTTTGCTTGCTCTAATCGAATGGCTCTAACTCCCTTCCTCACTATACTTCGTAGTATTCAAGTTAATAATGCTCACTCCCTTAACCATTCATCTCTCCATCTTCCCCATTAGCTTCCTCCCCATACGTTTCAGGCCGACACAGCGGCACTGAAAGCACTGTATAAAATGAATCACTGGCGACGCGTAGGCGGGCCCGTGCGATAATGTGTTTTTGCAGTAGTCCGAAGCCGTAGTGAGATCGCTAGGAAACCCAGTAGCTAGAAATCGCGACATACTGATCCTCGAAATTCGGGAAGTTAATTGTACAAGCACACTGTGCTTGGACAATGAACATACTGTTAAAATTTCAGCTTTTCTGGTTCTCGAGTTGGCGATTTTCCCGCCAAAAATTTTCACGAGGCTGTGCATGAAAGCTGCACAATTCTGGAGGCTGAGTTTGAAATCATTCAGTTCGTCGCGGACGGTGAACATTCCTTGAAAATTTCAGCCTTCTGGCTTTCCTGGTTCTGGAGTCAGCGGTTTTCCCGCCAAAATTTTCATATAGTCGTACGCCGGCCTAGTTGTGCATGAGGGTTTTTGCCGCGACCTTGCAGTGGCACCAGGCCGAGGAACCCACTGGCAAAGTTTTGGCGCCGGCGCTTGCCTAGTTGCCCAGTTGAAGTACCTGGGCAGGTACACACACACGCTCACACGCACACATTCGCACACACACATACACACACAACACACACCATGGTTCGTCAAAATATGCGCTTTTGTGTTTGCATATATGCAAAGACGTATAATTAGCAAACCTGCATGTAAAAGGGGAAGCAGCGGTACACAATTTTTGGGTTGGAAAAAAAAAATAAAATACAAGTTGCAAAGCAGCAAGCTTACCGGTGGAACTATGTATTTTCAAGCTAAATTTACAGCGATCAAGTTATTAAAAAAGGAGTGGTTCATGCGTTGTGTTTAAGAGGTAGGAAAGGGCGGCGGCTGCGGTGCAGTGTTGCATTATGGGGTCGCGTGAACCTGTAGCGTGTATAACTGTCAATTCTGCATGAAGCCCGATCGCTTTTTCGGTGAGCGTGATTCAAAGAAAAATGCAAACATCAGAAGAGAGCTACAAAATCCGCAAAACGCACTTGCGATAAAATTGAGCATTTGTCATGTCCGTTTGCAGGAATTTCGCCTCAGAGCTGTACTCAGACCATAGGTAAGTATAGAATACATATCTCAGTATAATTCTGAGATGATTTTGACTGAGTGAAGCGCATGGGTTGGTGAGGAAAGGAGTGGAGGAAGGT